CTTCTAATTATTTTAAATAAAAATGCATTCTTGTTAGCTATGTTTGCTTTACTGTGCCTTAGAGTAACAGAACTATTTCTTTTATCTAACTGCAACATTGTGGCCGTTGACTAACACCTTGCTATATCCCCTGCCTTACTGGGCTCCCCAGACTTTGGCAGCCACTATTCTGCTCTCAACTCACATGAGTGCAACTTGCTTAGAGTGAACAGGAGTGAGATCATGCGATATTTGTCTTTTGCAGCCTGACTTACCTCACTTAACATAATGCCCCCATGTAATCTGTGCTGTTGCAATGATATGGTGGTGTCTCTTTGTTAAAGAGCAAATAATATTTCCATGTACATAAAACTTGATGAGCTTTGGTACAAAAAAGATGAATACACATTTCATTTTAGGAAAACCTGAGAGAAAATTGAATAAGTCCTGATTATGAAATGTTACCTAAATGTGATATCATTGAAATGATATATATTATAATCATAGTGTATTATATATACAATATATAGTATATATACTATATACTATGTATTTTTTCTTAAGACACCTGATGAGGTACGCAGAAGTGAAGTGTTGCTATTCCTGCAAGCTATTGTCAAAGACTTAGATATAGAAGAAAGCTAACTAAAATATGATAAAGATTAAGTTTAAGGTTTAAAAGGAGAATATGTTGGTGATTATTGTACTATTCCTCAAATTTCTCTATATTAATTATTAATATACTATATATTTCTCAAAATTTTCTGTATCACTCATATACTCATGCATTGATATTTTGATGTAAGATATTAAAGCACTTGGCATAAACTCAAAAAGTAAAAATTTTAAAGAAGAATCATGAAATAATGAATTATTATTGTTTATTAATTTATTATTATCCTGAGATAATAACTGCAGTTGAAATTATTAAGGGAGGCATTAGGTATAACACTGAAGACAGGGAAAGAATCAGGGACACAGATATGACTGGAGAGTTATCAGAGGCAGGTGACAGCTCAATCTTGGAGCTGGAGACATCCAAGGGGGTGTCAGTGGGCAAGGGGTTGAGGGATGATCTGGGTGCCTCAAATTTAAAGGCCAATTATATGAAGAGGATTCATTAAGAAGACTGCAAAAGAAAAAGCAATGATGTAAGAGGAAGAGGAAGAGAAGTGACCCATGGATCATGGCAAAGTGTTTAAGGGATCATGGCAAAGGGTTTAAGGAAGAAGTAAGTCATTAGTGCATAACATCTCAGCAAGGCCCGGAGTGAGAAAGATGTCTTACTTTTACTTGATAATTTTAACAATATTTAGGAAATCAGTATCCTTATCACGTGTAATTTCGGTAAAAATGACTCAACGGTACCCTTGATTTGCCAGTATTTATAAACTTTGGATTACATGTAGAGACGTGGTTTGGTCAGCCTTTGTGCTGCTGTCAGGAAAAGACCCCACAGGAACAACATTAAAGGAGGACACGTTATCGTGGCTCATGGTTTCAGAGGTTTAGTCCTCAGTCAACGCCACAGCTCTGTGTCCGAGGTGAGGCAGAACATCCTGGTGGGAGGCTGTGGTGGAGGGAAGCAGCTCAGAACCCGGCACCAGGAAGCAGAGATACAGAGCGCTGCTCCCCAGAGACAAGAACAGAAACACTGGAAGACACACTCCAGTGACCCCGCCAGCCCGGCCTTACCTGCCTGCAGTTAGCAACCAGTTAATCCGCACCGTGGATTCTCAACCCACTGATGAGATCAATGCTCTCATAACCCAACCATTTCACCTCTGCAAATCCTGCCTTGTGGGGACACCTCCCATCCAAACCCTGACACACACTCTTCACTCTGTCTTCAAGACTGAAGAAACACATTTCACCCAGCTCTGGGCATGTGCCACAAGAGTGTGCCAGTGAGGGGATGGTGCTGGCTTTGAGGAAAGTTTTCAGAAGAGGAAAGGTTTTTTTGTTGTTGTTGTTTTACTTTTTAAATTCTTAAAAAATATTTTTTAGTTGTTGGTAGACCTTTATTTTATTTATTTATACATGGTGCTGAGAATCGAACCCAAGGCCTCACCCATGCCCGGTAAGTGTGCACCCTGAGCCCCAGCCCCAGCCCCAGAAAAGGAAAGTATAAATGAGGACACTTTTTCCTTTCACAATTGGTTTGGGTGTTGAAGTGATGGAAGAAGTTGTGAATAACCCCGTGTGTCCAAGAAACAGCTAAAGACGACACACAGCAAATGACAGTGACCCAGCTTCTCCTGTTAGTGCTCTCTGCATTCTGCCTCTGCCAGGTTTTCTACTGCAACACCAGGGATCCACAGAAAACAAGCTGTACTAATGCATCTGAATGGACTTTTATGCAGATATTTATTAAGGAATTAAGGGCACTGACTCCCCCAAAATAAACGTGGGAGGAAGGAAGGAAGGGAGGAAGGAAGGAAGGAAGGCATGTTATTTTAAATACCATTTTGAAGTTTTACTTTGGATTTCATACTTCATTTTATTGTAATGATATGATTGGTCTACAATATCATTTCTGTGAATGCATCCTCATTTCCTAAGTAGCCGGCCAATTGTTATTAATGTCTTACATTTGCTTGAAGATAATGTTCATTCTGTGATTATTTGTTTTCTTGCTCAATTTCCTCCTATAGACCAAGCCTGTGTCTACTTAAAATATTTTATCCTCATAAAATTTATATGGCCTTTCCATACTACTGTTCTGCTCCATATGTTCTAAAACCTATTTATCTGATGGTGAATCATTTTTACACTATGAACTTCTGATAACAACTGTTTTAGATTCTGAAGTCCACCCATGTTGTTGTGAATGACAAGATTTGGTTCTTTTATATATTTGAGTACTATTCCGTTATGTATATCGCTACATATTCCTTTTTACTTTTTTACTGGTTGTTTTTAGCCATACATAACAATATGATTAATTTATACATTGAGCATTTTTGGTTCCCCTTAAAGTTAACCAGAGTCTCTGACCACTACATAAAGACAAATAAGGGGAGCCCCATTGACTCACTGGCTTAAACTTGTTTTACAGCTGAAAAGCAAATATTTTATTTAGAAATTCTTCTTTCTTTTGACCCTTTTCAACTTTGAATGGGTATTTTCAATTAGCCTCTCTTTAGCTCCCTTTCTGTCTTCTGCTTAATTAATTCTGCTTTGGTTGTTCTTCATTGCATTTTTCACTTTCTACGTTATATTTTTTTCAGTTCCAGAATTTGTTCTGATTCTTTTTATTATTTCAATGTATTTGATAAATTCCTTGAAGTTAACTGAACTCGTTTAAAGACAGCTATTTGAGTTATTGTCTGAGAGTTCACATGTCTTTGGATCAGTCGTTGATGTCTTATTTTGCCCATTTGATAAAGTCATAATTCCTCAAATGTTCCTGACACTTGTAGGTTTATGCATTAAATAATTAGGTAGGGATTCTAGCCTTTATAGTGAATTTGTGTTTGTTTTTCTTCAAGTGACCTTCAGAACATTTAAAGTAAGCTGCTGACTCTACTCCCCAAGCTCTGACTGCTGACATCACTAGCAGGTACCCCTAATCCCAGTGCATCCCGAGTCCTGTGATTTCTCCTGTGTTGTTGGCAGGAACTGTGGTCTGGATGGCCTGAGGAAGACACAGAGATGGCACCCAGGCTGTGTGGGAAGGCAGCCAGGTCCCAAGCCTGGAGTCCCATCTGGTTACCGAGAAGTTATCTGCATGGACTGAATAGTTTCCCAGATGCAGTGGGAACAGCTAGAGATGCCTGAACCGCCTCTGGATTCACTGCTGAAACAGAGCTGGTGAGCCATCTCATTGAGTCAGACAACACAAGTATTTCAACAGGTCCCCACATGGGTGGGATGTTTTCCCAACTGCAGGAAGATGTGCTGGAGCTGAGACTCTCCTTGCCCCCAGATCCATTGTAGAATCAAGGCTGGCAAGCCCATCTATCCAGAACAGCACGTGTCCCTCAGGAGAATTCTGCTTAAGTAGAGATTCTTCTGACTGCAGCAAGAGGGGCTGGGCTCCAGACCGAACAATCCCAGAACGCACGATGGAATGGTTCTTTTGAGCTGTGTCATTGATAAGACACACACCTCTCAGAAGTTGTCTGCACATGTGCACGCTCTCAGGGCAGTGAGAGGGCGTGGGCCTAAGGTAGAGCCGCCCAAGGGCTCACCATGGGATGGAGATGTGAGCCTGCTGTGGATGCTCAGATACGGGTAGCTTGCTAACTGCACGAGGAAGATGAGACAAGTACGAAGCAAGATTACCAGTATGGGAATCAAGTATCATCCAGGATCAAAGCCGAAAGGAATGTCCACTGGTATTACTGATGTCAGAGGGAAGAAGAGCGTTTCTGCTCAGACACTAATAGCCATAGCTCCTCCTAAACCCCAGGGAATCTAGGAGCACAATCAGTGGGCCTGCTGCTTGACTGTGGGCCTGACCCTCAAAACAACCCTTCTGTCTTGGGCTCCACTAGGCTTTCAATATCTCCTGCATGACTCCTGAGGCTCCCTTAGATGAACTTTGGCCACAGGGGGTACAGAATTCTTGTTGTGTGGACATAGCAGTGGTGACCTTTCTTCTCCATCTTACAGATATTAATTGCCAATATTTTAACTTATATCTAAATAGTAATGTTCTTATTTGTCTTTTTTTGGAGCCCCTATAAGTACTTTGTGCAAATTCACAGAGCATACATATAGTAAAGAGCATCAAAAATAAATTAATGGGCAGAAATAAAATATACTAGGTTAGGAAACAAACTCTGAAGGCATATACTAAAACTTACATTCTGTGTGACATTAGGAACAATATTTACTTTTCCTTTTCTTCATTTCTTCATCTAGAAAGCAAGCGGTGGTGTCAACAGCACTTACAATTTGAGTCTGTTGCAGATACAGACATTGCTTCACATGGAGCACAGCAAATAACACATTCTCAAAAATTATATATCTCAATGCAAGCGACTCAATTATTAACTACTAAAGATGCTGACATATAGACTTAACTTTCTTTTTATTCATTAGTAATGTACTGAATATCACAATATATTTAAAATGTCAATAAATTCAGGAACTCAGACTCATCTTGAACAGGACCAAGTTTGGTGGTGTTTAATATTTGCACATTTTCCCAGCCACATTTTTAAGCTTCCCTTGACCTCGCTGTTCCTCAAGCTGTAGATGACGGGGTTCAGCATAGGGGTGAAGATGCTATAAAAGGCTGACACCACCTTATCGTGGTGAGCTGACCTGTAGGATTTGGGTCTCATGTAGATAAAAATGGCAGCCCCATAAAAGAGCCCCACCACAGCCACGTGTGAGGAGCAGGTGGCAAAGGCCTTCTTGCGGGCTTCTGTGGAGCGCATGCGGAGGACAGCAGCCAGGATGAGACTGTAGGAGGTCAGGATGAGGCAGAAGGGCACCAGGAGCATCAACACACAGCAGATGTACATGACATTCTCAAAGACAGACGTGTCAGCACAAGCCAAGCGCACCAGCGTGGGGGCCTCACAGAAGAAATGGTCTATCTCTCGCCTGTTGCAAAACGGGAAGCTCAGGGCGACAACTGCCTGTATCAGCCCGTCAGCTGCTCCCAGGAACCAGGACCCCACGGTCATCCTCAGACACAGTGGCCAGCTCATGAGCATGGGGTAGCGCAGAGGGTGGCATACAGCCACATAGCGGTCATAGGACATGGCTGCTAAGAGGAAGCACTCCCCACCACCCAGAGTTGGAAGAAAGAAGATCTGCAAGCCACAGCCAGCAGTGGAGATGGACTTGATTCCAGTCAAGTAGTCAGCAGCCATTTTGGGCACAGTGGTGGAGACCAGCATTATGTCCATGAGGGACAGTTGGCTCAGGAGGAAGTACATGGGCGTGTGGAGCCGGAGGTCCTGTTGAATCAGGAGAATCATGAGGGCATTGCCCACCAGAGAGCTGATGGCTATTGTGAGCACCACAGTGAAGAGAAAGAGGTGGAGTCCTGTGTGCTTGAAGAGTCCTAGGAGGATGAAGTCAGAGGTGGTGTTGCTCTTCTCCATAGTCTCAACCATTGTAAGCTGTGGAAAAACAGAGGAGGAAGGGTTATCATCCAGTCTCAGTGTGACTGCAGAGCCCTGCACCTGGACAGGCATGAAATCCAGGGTCCTGGTGCAAAGCCCTGCCTCCCACTGGGCTGGCTTCCCTTGGCTGGTCACTCCACTTCTTCATAGCGTATATCCCACTCTCCACTGAGGTTTATGTGTGCTTCACCCAGGATAGTAATGTCAAAATGGATCAAAATATCCAAAGTTGTTGAGTATTATGTAGTGGTCAAGAGTTAGTATTACTATTTCTATATTTCTTGGACAAGTAGTTTTTATTTTTTTCTGTGTATACAGAAACCAAAATGAGTCAGTTGAGGAAAGAAATAGTTAGACATCCTCCATTTAGATTTATTGGTGTTGTAAATGGTTTGTATTCAACTTTAGGAAACCTACCTGATTTCAAATTAGGCTCCTCTTAAAAATAAACATGAAGTTATATTTATTTTACTGAGCATTCCAAGGGGCCACAGACAGGAATATACATTTTATAAAGGAAATTCTTCTTTTGAACACTAGTAGTATCTCAAGTAATTGATAGTTGCTTCCTTCCTCATGTTAAGTGACCTTTTACTTCCCTCATATTTGGCCCAGATATTCTCATTTATTTCCTCCTGCTCTAGAGCCTCCAGTGTTTGCATACCACCCCTTCTATGAGATAAAATATTCTTCCCGAGGTACGTTTGGGCTTGTGATCTGCCCTGCACAGCATGCTGCTGCATCAGACACTGCCACAGACCTGGAGAGACAGCCACCTGGGCAGCTCTGACTTTGATCAGTGCTCCTGAGGAGGGCAGGTAATAGGGATGAGGATCACTATTAGTCACAAAGAATCAAATAGACTCAAAAAGAAAAATCCCACATGGTTTAAATACCTAAATTCATATTTGCAAATCTACTTATTAGAACTGATAAAAGATTTCAGTAAACAAGCAGGATCCAGGGTCAGTACACAAAGATCCGTACCTTTCCCGTCCATGGAGAGTGGATGTGATGGGAAGGTAATGGAAGCAGGCCTGTTCAGAACAGCTGTGAGAAAAGAAACAGCTGGAAATGAGCTCAGCCAAGTAAGGGAAAGACATCTACAGTGAAACCATGAAACACCTGTAAAAGAAACTGAGGAAGAAACGAACAAACAGACAAAAAGAGAAAGATCCCCCATGATTTTAGACTAAAGAAATAATATAGTCAAAATGTCCACACTACCCAAAGTGGCCCTTAGGTTCAATGTAGTCCCCTTCCAAATACCAAGGATGGGCTCCTAGAAAAACTACCCTAAAATCTGTATGGATTCACAAAGGACCCCGAAGTACCACAAAAATATGAGGAAAAAAAGTAATAAAATAAAATAAAAATAAAAATAAAGGCATTACAGTACCTGATTTTAAAATTGAATAGATAAATTCACTTTCTTTATAGATACAGTCAGACTTACTAAGTCCACAAAAATGAGAACAGCTTCCTTTGGAAGGTTTTGCAGTAGAAAGTTGTTACACATTGAGCAAAAGAAATATGTGTTGACTTTTTACAATTTTTTTAACTCTCTACTAAAAACAAAGCTTATAAACTCATAAAGACCAAAAAGAACAAATAGCTCTAAGGAGCCAATCCATTCTTTATTAGAAGAAAATGCACAAATGCACTGCTTTTTACCCAACCAGGATCCGAGACCTATCTCTGGTGAGCATAGCTCAAACTGATTTCATCTGAAGCTTTAAATTCATGAAAATGACTGAGCCCATTCTGTAGGAATTGCCTGGTCCTCAGTTACTGCACACACAGAAAGGGTGATGGTGCTCTTTGATCTGGGGGGTCTGATGATGTCAGCACTCTGATGCTGTGATGGTAAGGAGGCAGGCAGGACTGCGACCTCACACACAGGTGGTTTGTGTCAGGGACCCACAAAAGGGCAGTGCCACATCCACCATAGAAGCATTCAGATGAGTGGACATAACACACGGTAGAACCTGCATCTCTAGAAGGCTTGACAAGCACTGAATGTCAGGGAAATGAATACTGTATGCGAAAATTGGGCCACACAGGAAAAGACTTTGTGGACCAGGTCTCTGCAAGAGGGTTGGCTTGCAGCTCAGTGTGGTGGCCCCTTGTTGTGCCTGCCACCTACTGAGCGACTGTCTGTTGGCTCCTGGGCTGCACAGCCTTCCCTGCAACTTCAAGCCACAGCCCAGTGGTCCTGTGGCTGCAGGACATAGAGCTGGAGGACCCCTGGGCTTGGGAACCACAGTCCTGCACTCTGGGACCTCTGCCTAGTCAGCTTTCCAGGATCCGCAGGGTGCTGCCGGGGGATGTGATATGATTTTAGGAATCATATTTTCTCTCTGGGCAGGTATATATGAATTTTAATATGTGCTAAATAGGAACCTGAAATTGTAGTTTAAAAAACAGTTTTAACTATGATTTTATATTTATGAGGGCAAGTTACTTAAATTCTATTTCTTATGTTTTAAATCATAAATCTAAACATTATCACTCAATGAATTAAATGTTTAATGAATAAGATGATTTAGAATTAGTCCCCCAAGTCATTTTGTACATTCAAACACATGTTTTAGTTTTAGCTTTTAGTCTAGATCATGTTACCATTTTTCCTACATGTTCAGAAGCTTGAAGCTTGAAAGTCATATGCAAAAAATGTCAGTTTGACATTTGACCAAATGCTGTTGCAACCTGAAGCCAAAATTCTAAGATTTGAAATAATAAACTTATTATTCTAAAGTGTTATACTTTTTAGAATAAACAGTCTTAGAAGTAGAGAAAAAGTAGAGATAAATGTATTTATATGTGAGGGGAAAAAAAGAGGAAAAGAGAAACATGCTTAATATAGACACACCAATCCACATCTAGGAGAAATTGTAACAAGTAAATAAATCTTCATTCTCCTCCTACACTGTGAAAAATTATGATGTATTGTATCCAATAAATTAAGCTTTCTAGAATGATATATCATCCAGATAACTTAATAGAAAATGAATTTGAATGTATTAATCTTCTTTTAATTACTATTCAATTCTGAATAAAAAATAAATAAAATTCTTGCAGCTTGGTAATCTTCACTAGGCTTTATTAAAATCATTTTTTAAATAAAATATTTTTTGGCATTATGTATAAATGGCTGCATTTACTTGATAACTGAAGTCTGTGTTCCCTAATTAAAAGGCAAGGGTAACTCTGAAAATTATGAGAATGTTGACGGATGCTTATGAGTACTTCTTCTTTAAGTCAATTTGTGGACTAAATTAATTTAAAGCTGTATGTAGATAGCTTAAAGTGGGGAAAATTTTCACCTCCAGGAATAAGGGATAAATACTCCTAATTATCTGGTATGCATCCTTTACAGAAAGAAAGGGAGTTGCCTGTGGTGGCACACACCTGTAATCACAGAGATTCTGGAGGCTAAATCAGGAGGATCATAAGTTTGAGACCAGCCTTAGCAACTCAGCAAGGCCCTGAATAACTTAGCAAGACCCTGTCTCAAAATCAAAATAAAAAATGCAGAAGACAGGGCATGAAGCTCAGTGGGAAGCTTGAGCTCCCACTCAATCTCTATTACCCACCCCCCGCAAAAAAGACTCCTTTCTATTATTTTAAAATTAACAGTATACCTTGCCTTCATTTTAAAATTATCCATTTTAAGGTCTTTATTTATAAGTGATATGAGGGATTTTGTGTTTATTTACCTCAAGACCACATTCTTTCTCATGCTGGTAGGTAAACTGATGAGTCTCCTTCTCGCTATTTACACACGGGAACACAGATCATTGTTCTAGATATTGGCATTACATTCAACAATCTCCACAAAAAATAAAAATAAATAAAATTCTTCGTCTAGAAGCAACCACATGATTCTGTGAAAAAAAATCACTAACAGGAACTTACTCATTTAACCAAATTGATGGCTCTTTCAAGAAGAGTTTTGGACTTGATGGCTCTGGATGAACACAAACTGCATCTTACATTTTCAAAACATCATGTGGACAGTTAGGAGACTTATTCTGCATCAATTGTGATGCAGCTCTAAAAAGATGACTTTGCAATTCCAAATTTACATGTAAACTATCACCAGACACATACCTATATGAAACATTCAGAATGACTTTCTAAAATACTAGAAATATAAATCTCAACCAAAGTAGACTCACCTTCATAGCAGAGGATCATACTTGATGGGTCCCATATATATCCTGGTGTCTCCTCTGACAGTTGATAACAAACGTCTGCCTTCATCAGCCTTGCGGGCTCTCACCTGGACTTCTGGCCTTGTGCCACATTCATTAGGAGTCCCATGTGACCACTGGAAGTCTCCACCTAGGAACACCTTCTCTGGAGCACAGCACCTCTGTCTGGGAAGGGGTGAAGGGATGTGAGGCCCTAATGAGCTCCCTGGATTGGCTGCAGCCTGAAGCCCCGTGGATGGGAAGGTGGAAGTAGTACTTTACCCTGTAAAGAGCAGCAAATACCATGAACTGTGAGGGTCAAAGCTAGAATTTGCTCAGGGATGATCATCGACCTCAACAAGTATGACTTACCTGTCTGAAGTAAAGAGACTAAGCTTCTGCAGGTGTAGGTGCCTATACAGGTGTATCTTATTCACTAGGCATCTCTAAATGCTAGAACAATGCTCAGTATTTTATATGCATTTTATTTAATCTAGCAAACAGCTTTTGATCAAGTAGCTTGTACTTTTTTGCAGAAATGTGAGCAACATTAATGATTTCTTTTATTTACCCAACATGATGGATGTACCTGAGTAGAAGAATTCTGGTGCTTAAATAACTTTAAATTTGTGATTCTCAAAACTGAGGAAGAACCAGAGTCACTATATGGGCCTGATAATTGCACTTAAACAAGCTATGCTTTATTCTGCTGTTTAAATGTGAATTTTGGCACCATCCTAAACTAGATTTTGATGCTTTGACAGCCTACGAACTAATCCAAATTTTGCCTGATAGTTTCTTTGTTTTGTTTTCTTTTGCTTTGCATTTAGTCCTATTTCTATTTCTTATCCATTTTTATAATCCTGAATAACCATTATATATGGACTTCAAGTTCCTCTTCTGTAAAATGTGCAGACACACTGAAGTTGCTTATGTTAGAGCATTAATAGAACAACTAAGTAAAATGCTTATAAATTCCCTAAAGGAATGTATGAGCTTCGCCATTGATGTTCATTGTTCTCATTCTGATTGTTTAAATGAAAAAAAAATCTAATACAAAGTTTTTATTGATTCTGGACTCAATATTGTGAAAATTGATCTGACACATGATCAGAAAATAATGCAAAATTAGTATAGCTTTTTCCATCAATGTTATGCCAGAGCATTAACACCTCAGTCAAATATTATTTAGTCTGTTGCGTAAAAGCACCTGTATTTGATGTACCATTTACTATTAATTAGAGCCCCTGCCCTCTGAAGTTGTATGTGTATTTGGAAAAGGTGTATGTGTATTTGTGTCAAGCAGAAAAACAATCACTCTATATTCGTCTGCATTACATATGTACACTTCTACCAAACAGACACGCATATTTGCATTAAGTACAAAAGCAAATAATTTCTGTCCAAGCCAGGCAGCATACTGCTAACCTTACCCTAAGAGGAACTCAAACAGCAGTGGGAAGGCTTGTCCTCCTGCCGCCAAGTGGGTGGCGCCTCCTCCAGCAGCGCGCTCACGCCTGGCACCAGTGGCCATTCTGCAGCCCAACTCAGCCCGACGCTGACCACCTGGAGCTGGCGCGTGGTCCTCAGCAATGTCTCACTTCTGAAACCAGCCACTGTGATCAGGTCTGGGCTCCGCACTTTCTGCCTCTCTGGATGCAAGTTAGAGGCCCTCAGGACCCCCTACTGTCAGGGGTGAAGCCAGGGATAGCAAGAGGGGCCCTGAACAACAGCATCACAAGGCACAGGCGACACTGCAGAGCTGCAGTGAAGGAAGGGACATACATATTCAATATGCAGTGGCACAGAATGAACAGTCTCATTCCAAAAGGGAGGAATGGGGACATACAGAGATGGGATGGGACTAAACAACACCAAAACCCAGCCGCAAACAGGTCCAAGGACTGCACTTACAGAACCTAGGACACGTGGTGGTGAGAAATGCTGTGCAGAGACCCTGGACGTTCCTGCCCCTGTGGGTTTCAGCCCACACGGCTTCTCTTTCTGCTTGGCTCTCTCTGTAGCCAGCAGCTTTTCTTAGCACACAGTACACATTATTGACATTTCTTAAAAATAAAATAATAATCTGGGGGACACTGCCACAGATGCTGGTGCCATGCCTGGAGAGCTTCTCCAACTGGCTGCTGCCTATGCCGCTAAGGCATCTGACACTGCTGCTGCCACTCTGAGGTCAACTGGAGGTCTTATTTCTGGGTGCTGCTGCCCTTGCATCTGCAGCCAACTGCTGCTGCCACCAAAGACACCGCTGCCCCCGATACAACTGACCCCGACACTGCTGCTGCCCCCCATAGCTGCAGTTGTAGCCGCTGTTGTCGCTGTTTCAATACTGCGCCTGCTGACCTGCTGCCTGCTGCCTACCAACCACTGCCACTACTGCTGCCACCACAACCTAGAGCACTGCTGCGGGGGAGACTACAGGTTGGGTTGCACGTAGCTGCACCCACTTTGGGACACCAGCCAGAGCCTGGGGCCTGGGTGCCAGCATGTTGACCACCCACAAGAGCCTCTGCCTGGGGACTGCTGTTGGGACCTGCAGGTCCAGTGTGGGGGTGCCTGAGGGTTTGGAGATGTCTGGGTTCTTCCTGCTGGGAGTGCTGGTGGCCCTTGTCCCCTTGTCTTGCTGCTGCTTCTTGGGGCTGCTCGTTTCCAAGAGTGTGAACAAGGCAAGGGGTAATATTACAAAGAGACAGGTGAGCATAGTTCCACCCAGGGGCTGCAGGAAGGACTGCACTGTGGCTGAGCCTGAGGTGTCGGAAGCCCAGGTCGGTGGGACAGAGACTGGGGTTTGTGAGGGCTGATCTGGTTTGGAGATCCTAAGAGGTGTCAGAGACAGGGCTGAGAAACTGTTGAATGAAGAGGGAGACAGTTTGACTTTCCATCGAGATTTATTTTATTATTATTTTTTATTTGCTAATATTGCTGCCATATTTGGAACAGGGTGTTTTTTATGCATCAATGTGTGGAGGACAATGGTATATGAATGGTGTTTTGCATTTTTGTTGTATTCCTATGTTTTTAATATTTTCTCTTTGTTTGTATTCTTCCTCTCACTTGTCTGTTTTCTTCGATTTTCTTTCCAACTTTTCTCCAATGAATAGCCAATCTCTGTCAGCTCCTCTTCCACTCTTCCTGTGAATTTTTACCTCTAGCTTTTCTCCTCCTCCCTCGTGAACATTGCGCACTATGCTACCTCAGTTCTCTCATCCACCATTTGAAGTTGTAAGCTGTTTTAGCAAATTTTCTGTTTATACCATAGATAGTTATTGAACTCATCATTTTGGTTTAATGTGGGAAAGCAGTAGACACCTTAGTCGGAGCTATTAGGTTTAAGGTTATATATGTTTACACTGGGTGCTGCTGATACTGATCTCATCATTAAAGGTGAGGCAAGGAAACCTTCAGGGACACTATAGGTTTACAGAGTAGAATTTATACTGCTTTAGATCCATACTGCTAGATGGGAAAACACCCAAACAACATGAAAAACAAGGGAATAAAATACCCCAAACAAACCAACATGCTCTAACAAAAGAAGCCAAGGATAACACCGTAGAAGAAATGTCTGAAATGATTTCAGAGTGTTTATAGTTAAATTGATATTTGAAGTATAGTATAAGGAGTGAAATCAAGGAAAAATACAAGAAGTGAAAGACCACTTCAATAAAGAGTTAGAGATTGTGAAAAAAAAAAAAAACAAGCAGAAATCCTCAAATGAAGGAATCAGTAAGTCAAATTATAAATTCAATAGAAAGCATCACCAACAGACTAGACCACTTGGAAGACAGAACTCAAGGCAATGAAGACAAAATATATAATCTTGAAAGCAGAGTTAAACATGCAGAGAAGATGGTAAGAAACCATGAACTGGACATCCAGGAATTATGGGATAACATGGAAAGACCAAATTTAAGAGCTATCAGAATAGAAGAAGGAGCACAGATACAAACCAAAAGGAATGCACACTCTTTTCAATGATATAGTAGCAGAAAATTTCCCAAACCTAAAGAATGGAATGGCAAATCAAACACAAGAGGCTTATAGGACCCCAAATGTACAAAATTACAGCATACCCACACAGAGACACACTATAATGAGAATGACTTACACACAGAATAAAGATAAAATCTTAAAGGCCACTAGAGAAAAAAAATTAAATTACCTATAGGGGGGAAAACAATTTGGATCTCAACTGATTTCTCAACCCAGATCCTCAAAACTAGGGGGTCCTGGAATAATATATTTCAAGCTCTGAAAGAAAACAAATGTCAATCAAGAACTTTATATCCAGCAAAATAAAGTTTCAGATTTGAAGATGAAATTAAAATCTTCCAAGATGAACAAAAATTAAAAGCATTCACAACTAGAAAGCCTACACTACATAACATCCTGAACAAAATATTCCATGAGCATGAAGGGGGAAAATAAAAACCAGCAAATGGAGGATCTATACTAAAGGAATATTCATCTTAAGGAGAAATTAAGTCAAATTAAAAACCAGAAATAAATCAAAATGACAAGGAATACAAATCATATCTCAATAATAACCTTGAATATTAACAGCCTAAACTCATCAAGCAAAAAACATAGAGTGGCAGATTGGATTAAAGCAAGACCCAACAATATGCTGTCTTCAAGAGACTCACCTCTTAGGCAAAGACATCCACAGGCTGAAGGTGAAAGGGTGGGAAAAACTTATCATCATATGAATTGTGTATACAAGCAGGGGTTTCCATTCTCATCCCAGATAAAGTAGACTTCAAACCAAAGTTAGTCAAACAGAAAAAGAATATTTCATATTTGTTAAGGGAAGTGTATATCAGCAAGACATAACAATTATAAATATTTATCCCCAAACAATGGAACATCTATGTACATCAAACAAACCCTTCTCAATTTCAAGAGTCAAATAGACCACAGTACAATAACACAGGGTGACTTTAACACACCTCTGTCACTACTGGACAGATCTCCAAACAGAAACTAAATAAGAAAACTATAGAACTAAATAATACAAGCAATAATTTAGACTTAACAGACATATATAGAATATTTCATTCATCAAAAAGTGAATATACTTTATTTTCAGCAGCACATGGCTCCTTCTCTAAAATACAGCATATCTTATGCCACAAATGAACACTTAGTAAAATATAAAAAGAAATAAAAAACAGAGATAATACCCTGCATTCTATCAGACCACAATGGACTGAAATTATAAATCAATGATAAAAT